TAATGGGTGTGGGTGACACAAAAACAGACAACAAAACATTTGTAATTAAGAAAGTTTTCAGCTGAAAGGCACTTAAATGAAATTTTAATTTATTTCTAAAATGCTGCCATCACCAATAGTCGTCGAGAGGGAAGCAGCAAAAAGGAGCTAAGCCAACAGGAAAAAATAGGAAACACACAAAAACAAAAGCTCAGGCAGCTGCAAAACTTTTCCAAAGTGACAGGGACAGACGGAGAACAGGGACATAGCTGACTGACTGACAGACAGACAGTTGTCGCTAGAGAAATTATCTGAGAGCGAAGGAGGAAGAGTTGAAGGAGCCGGGAATCCTATTAAATATTTAACCTTATCGCAGTCATTTCTACGGCATCAGCCCCGGAAGTCTCAATGCGGCCAAGAAACCATTGCGGGCAATCTGCAATTGCCAACAGCAACACTAACAACAACAATGCCGCGCAGGACAACAATTGGTAGCGTTTTAAAAAGCGCCTCCAGGACACGCCAGCCACATTATGGCGCCCCATGAAACGCTTAAGCCATCAACACAATGTTCGGTAATTAACCCGGCTAAATACGATACGACGGCCAAATTATGCCAGGCTCAGGCCAAGACGGAACGTGTGCTCCCTTAATGTCCTATTGCTAGCTATTCCCCCTGTATTCAGTCTAATGCCACGTTTTTATCTGGGCTTATCTCCATTATTTAATAGCTACTACATTTTGCGCATTTCTTTAGCTATAATCTGTGTAGAATTTTTTTTTGTGAAAGTTCTTAGATTTTAACACAAAACGTTTTCTTAATGCCGTGTAATATTTACATTTGTTATATAAATCAAAATTATCTGACAATTGAATGAGTTTGACTGTTTATTTTTTTTAAATCGAAGTTCAGTGCATGTAAAAATAAGCAAATACATAGTTTTATTTATTATGTTTCTGTTTTACGAATCATTATTTAATTTAGGCATTGTAAGGTAATACCCTAAGCTAAACTATAAACATTTTATTTATAATACCTAATCTCTCTTAACTTATTAATACTTCGGGACCTTTTTTTAAAACTCTATTAATTTATAATTTAATTTGTTTGATAAATTGGGGTACTTAAAATGCCCTATTCCTGCCTTAATCAGCAGTCTAATATATAATTAAATTTTTTTAAATAGTATTATCTAAAATTTTTGATCATTATCATTACATGCATTAAATTTTTTTATTATAAATACAACATTTATTTTCGCTCCCGCTTATAAATGTTTCAAATATGTCTTAAGAAGCAATGGATAATAAGAGTAGCCTATCCCTACAAATAATTTCACTTTTGATATATACTGCGGGATTAAAAAGCGACACTTATGAAAGTTCTACCGTATCGAAAATGTATTAGTGTTCCTGCAGAAGTGTGTGCTTTTTATTTGTATTTTATCGCGATGAAAACGTTGCAATTTGAAGGCAGGCTTTTAGAACCATTAACAACTGTGCAGCATTCTTATCAGCCACAGGATGCAGCCCCTTCTCCCCCCAAACACACACACACGTACAATTAACCCACAAAAAAACACACTAGCACAAAGAAAGAGAGCCGAAGAGAAAGAGTGTGTGCTGGTGGTGGTGGACAAAAGAGAAATGAGTGCTATGTGTGTGTTGGTGAATAACCACAAAAATGAGAGACGGTAAACAACAGACTCTTGACTCCTGGCTGATGGCTGTTTGCTGTTGGCTGATGGCTGATGGCTCTCCGCTCAAAACTCTCCGAGAAGACGGATACGAAGACCGAAAATCGCCCATTATCCATTTTTATTTTATCATCAATTTTATTACACACAAAGTAAAGAGGCGCAGCCGAGCAGCAAGTTGATGATGTACCAGGCCATCAACATCAATGAAAAACGCCAACAGCCAACAGCAACGACAACAAGAACAACAACAACAACAACGAGGAGAGAACTCACACACACAACACACACACACACAAAGGCAAAAAGAGATGCTGAGAGACGAGAACACAACACACGCCCTTTTGGTCGGAAAAGCCAGAACTGAACACTAAACTAAACTGAACTGAACTGAACTGAACTGAAAAGCACTCGGCCGTCGACTTAGTGGCTATGCTAATGCTAATTACAGTCGTACTTACTTAGGGCTGCATCTGTGTGCAGGCTGCAGTCAGTGGGTCCTTGAGAAATCCCGATGCTTATGCTATATATGTGTATATATATTTATATTTATATTTATATCCTGATCCAGTGACCGGGCGAGGAATGTTTGTTGCTGAACACTTTCGTTTGCTTTGTATTTATTTTTGTTGTATACGTTTTGGTTTACACTTGGGCCTTGCTTGGTTTTTCTTTACTTCTCAACTTGGCATTTCACACTCGAGACACTTTCCTGGGGAAATCAAAGGATTTGGATTCCATAGCTATTAGCCGTAGCTATTATTATTATTCCACGGATCTCAGATCTCGGATCTCGGATTTTGAACTCCTCGCACGGCTGGCAGGCGGGCAACTAAACGCAAATCACCTCATCTGCTTACGGGCCATAAAATGTCTTACGAGTGCTGGCAGGGCACCTAAGCAAATTCTCCTCAATTGACCGAACAATAAACTCAATTTGCATTGAGCTCTCTGCATTGTTGTTGCTCTTGTGCGAATGGGGTTGGGGGTGTGGGTGTGGGTGTCGGTGTGGGTGTGGGTGCTTGTGCTGTCTTGCGCTTGATTGAATCAACAGCAAACAAGTGAACAGATTTAGATTCGGACACTTTAACTAGTCGCAGCGGATTAGTGCGCTTAAGTGGGCCTGAGGAGCGCTATTTGCCTCTATTTGGCACTTATTCAATTGAGCCGTTTTGGGGACATTTTGGAAATGCGCCACCAGGAGCAAGTAATTATGTGCGAGCATCGAGCATTGAGCATCGAGCATCGAGCATCGAGAATCTCGCCCAGGAAAAATACAATCGTCCAGCTAACGACAAAGACCTTCCAGGGATGCTAAATAGGTCGTCATATAAGGGGTCTATGTTTTAAGTTTTTAACCTCAAACGAATATCATTACTCATTACTGAGTTTCTCCTTATTTTCCCTATTATCTTCTTATATTCTTCTTTTGTATATGTTTTTCTTGCTTAACATTTTCTAACCATTTTTTTGTGAATTTGATTTTATTATTATTATAACTCTTAAAATGAAATCCTTTTATGATAACTATTCATTGCTCAAAATAAGTTTATATCTTGCATAAATCATTAAATATTATAATTCATCTTTCTTGGCATGTACTATATTTCATTAACCCTTTTTGATTTACTTTTTTTTAACTCCTAAAATTTAATTTGAAAATATTTCTTAGCTTGTTTAGCTGCTCAATACTATGTTTCTTTGATTTTGAATTATCTTTTTCGCATTTCTTTGTCTGTTGTTGTGGTTGCTCTTTCTTCCTTTTCTCCTCCTCCTTCTGCTGCTTCTTCCTGCCTTTGCTCTTGTTGTTGTTGATAAATTCGAATTTTTTGGGAGCGGCTCATTTGCTTTTCTCTTAAACTTTTTCATTTTTTCTCGCGTTGAAAACGTTTTTGGCAGACTTGCTGGAGAAAATGTACGAAAAGTTCACGCTAACTAGCAACAAATTCGATGGGGGGGAATAAAAAAGAAAAGCACAACTCCCACATTAAGCGAGAGATTGATTTTTCTGGCTTTGTCTAAAGGGGTTTTTTTTTTTTAGATTTCCAGAGGCTGCGGCCACTGATGACGCGTTGTCAATATGATATTTTAAAGACATTTCTATTTTTTCATTGAAAATAAAATTCTTGCTTTGTTTTTGGTTATTCTTCAAGTTGGCCTTTGGTCACAATTCGTATTTTCTTTCGCTTTTCTTAAGGACCGCACATGGAAAATGCTTGCAAAACGGCACACTGACCACACATAAACACTCGCACGCACACACACACACACGCACACACACACACACACTCGGGGATTACAAGCTGGCAGCGACGTCGGCAGAGGCATTTTCCATTTGCCTATGCCGTTACACTTTGTTGTTTCGCCAGAGGATGTGGTTGTTGCTGCCAGAATCCTTTTGGGATAATTTACCGAGCCAAGTTTCCTTTGAGCCGCCGTCGCTCTCGAGTCGCAAATTCACACTGAGCCGGAGTTTCGCTTTCGGATTTGGTCCTCGGATGCTGGAGCTGCTGCTGCTGCTGCTGCTGCTGCTGCTTTGGTCCTCTGCTAGCGCGGCCAAGGACTCAGGCGCAGGCTGTCGGCGCAGAAACCATCGCCCCAATTCTCTTCGTCCTGCGTTGAAGAGCGGGTGGTGCGGCGGAAGAGCGGGAATTAACTGGAGAGCGGAAGCGCGTGGTGGATTATGCACTTGAAAACTGTGGCGCCCGCACTTCAGCAAATGCGTTATAAATGCACATTTTAATTAGGCGTATTTTTCCAGCTTAATGCACATCAAGCATTCGCTTTTCGGCTGAAATAGGGAGGGAAAAGCCTTTCACCAATAGTATCGTGATCGAAGCTCGCGTGTCGCAGCACTCAGTATTTGTCGGGCACAGATCGACTCGCTGCCATGACACTCACTCACGATGCTTTGGTTAAAGTATCCGCTAAGTAAAATCTTAAGAATTTTAAATTACTGATAGGGTTAATACAGTGAAACGTAAATATCTTGTCCTGTCTAATTTTTTTGTATAAACCACACCACAAAATTAAATTTTAAATTAAAATAAATTCTAAAAAGACTACATCCCAGTGAAACGGTCTAACGTAAAGGATTTTTGGTAATAAATTAAATAAAAATAAAATAAAAGAAATAAATAAACAGCAACTAAAGTTAAAAACATTTACTTTTTGGGTATTTCCCAAACGACTAAATCTCTGAATTAATTAATTGATTAATTTTATTGAAATAAAATTATTATTACTATTAAAAACTATCGCATCAATTTTGGTCCACCTCTAAGTGTGACCCTTGCTGCCTAACGATGGCACGAACTATCGATTAGCCCGACGCAACTGCGACGCAGCAGAGCAAACTCGTTTCGCTTTTCGTTTCACAAATTTTTATATAACTTTCGGAGCGACAGGGCCGACACATAAACAAAAAAAAAACAAATCTTAGCTTGTGCAATTAGTATCTTCTCCCAACTGCAACGCGGCCTGCAGCTCCAAATTCATCGTTTTCGAAATCAAGGCTGTCCAGGCAGAGTAAACAAACAACAGCAACAACAACAACAGCGAACAACCTGTAAGACCTTGAGGGGATTTTCGGATTTATATTGCGCGACACTGACAATCTAATCTAAATTATTGTCAGGTGCGCGTCTGATTAATATTCCGGGTTAGATATTTTCAATTAGCAGTCGGTAGCATCATGTCGATCAGGCGAACCATGTCCACAGCATCCTCCAAAGAGTGGCGGGATTACTTCTTGAGGTTCGTATGTCTATTATTCCCAATCATAACTTGGGGTACTGATGCTTTTCCAATCCACAGCACCCACTTCTGGGGACCGGTGGCCAACTGGGGTATTCCGATCGCTGCTCTTGCCGACACACAGAAGAGTCCCAAGTTCATCTCCGGCAAAATGACACTGGGTAGGGTAAATCAGCTGGATTTTGGCCATAATCTGAACGCCAAACACATCGAAAGTTTCTGCCAAAGATGTCGTTATCAGTGCCGCTGTGATATGTCCTAAACAAATCACTCTATATGGCCTGATAAGCCAGTTACGGAAACTGTCGAAACGGCTGCCGATAAGACCACACAGAGAGAAAACGAGCTATAGTTTGATATAATGTTAAAGCTGATTTCAGGCACAATTAATGTGCTAAATCATCTGAGATGAGCATGCCCTTCCATTAGAACATTTTACACAACTTCTTTTTAATCATCCATCTGTAAAACTTTAAAATGATCTTAACGATCCATAAGAATCATGATACTCCAGCATCTTTGGATAAGAAAGCCTAACAAATTCAGCTAAACTCTCTCTTTCTCTCTGTGTATATTTAATTAAATCTCCCTCAAATGATTAATTTTGAATATATTCCAGCTCTGACCCTCTACTCGTGCATCTTCATGCGATTCGCCTACAAGGTGCAGCCCCGTAACTGGCTGCTCTTCGCCTGCCACGCCACCAATGCCACCGCCCAATCGATCCAGGGAATGCGCTTCCTCCACTACAATTACGGATCCAAGGAGCAGGAGGCGTAAGTTATTCGCTGTTTTGAAGCCCACTACCCCGAGAACGACGCGCGATGCCACTTCAAATGTTTACCGAACAGCAGCAGCTAGCGCAATTTACTGCCACCACACGCAACAATCCTCTAGCAAATTGCACTGCCCCCGTAAATTCAAAAGCAAGTGGTAAGGTAATTGCCGTGAATGACACCCGCACAATTGGCTGAATCTCGAATCGCGAAGTTGTCGTGTCCCTGTCGTCGTTTTTTCTGGGGTCATAATCCCAATTCCAATTGAGTCTATTCGAAACCTGTTGCTTTGCTTATTTAGTTAATTCCGTTTGGCAATTGAACAAAATTTTAAGTTGGTGCAATTCTTAGTTTACGATCATAGAGTACGTTTACAAAAATATGATTTAAAGTGTAATAAATGACAGAAAAATCGAATTTTGTCTGTAATCTGTGACCGCATCTGGCTGTAATAAAAATTGTACATTGAATTCTATTCAGAATTTCTCAAAGTAAATTAAGGTTTAAAATTGGTAAATCTAATGGTGTGATTTGTGGCTAGCCCTTCAAGTCAATACAACATAATTTGTCTTTGTCATGCTCATTGGAACATGCTCTTTATTTAAACGATTACGGTTATATATCTTCATATGTGTAAAATATACAATTCATTGTTCTTAACAATAGCACATTTTTTTGTTGACATTTTTGTTCATCAATGGGGTTTAAAATAAACGAAATCGTAATCATTTTTTTATGCTTTTTCTGATTTTTTTGCTTTGCTGATTACACTTAGGACAAAAACATATACGTGGGTAAAAAAAACGAGTTAAAATTTTAGATTTCTCAAACATAATAATAATAATAGAATTATAGTTAAACACTTCTCGCGCAATATGGGCGCCATCTCTATGCCTAATAAGTGGCTTAAATGTTTTACGTTTTACATCGCATCGCATGGGATCGATGTCCAGATGGAAATTGGATTTCGGTTTTCTGCTTCTCGACTTCTTCTCTCTCTTCTTCTCCAACGACAACTTAAGTAACTAAACGAATGGATGACTACGAGGGGTCCTCGGACTAAGGCTATCCGCCGCAATATGCGGCAATCGGCAGGTATTAAGTGTATGGCTACGAGAATCTCAATGCTGCTCCTGCTTGACGTAGGTGCTGTTCTTGCGCTGGCGCTCCATCAGGTACTTCTTGAACTTGCGTTCCTGGAACGCCACATCGTCGGCCAGGGTGCGCAGGCGCAGATTCTCGGCCATCAGCTCGTCCTCGGTGCTCTTCTCCTCCTCCTCGCGCTTCTTCGTCTTTCGGCGCGATACGCGGCTGGCCTCGTTGTTCTTGATCCTGTCCTGGTAGGCCTTGCGCTCGTCGCCGTTCATGCGCGACATGATTTCCGGATCGGGTCCGTCGGCATGCTCCTTGGCGGGGCGGCCGCGCTTCCGCTTGCCATTGGAGGAGCCGCCGGACGGCGAGGGGCTGAACAGGGAGGTGCTGGCCACGGAGTAGGCGGGCGAGGCGGGGGCAGTGAGGAAGCCACCGAAGCCCGTCTGGCAGGTGGGCGCCGCACTGCTGCAGGTGGCCGAGTAGTTGCTGTGCGGGGTGTTCGGCGGCGAGAAGTCGATGGTGGTCTCCTCTTCGACACTGCGTAGATCCTCAACGATTGTTGCTTGGGTGATGGTGTTGTTGCTGATGGTGGTGCTGGTACTGGTGTTGGCTGCCTCGAGCTGTAAATGGGAGAAAGTAAATAAATTAGATAAGGTTTTCTAAAGATTAACTGCATAGATCACATTGAGGAATCGATTTTTAAGGGGCTATATACAGTTAGAAGGTTTTTCTGAGCAAAACTTTTCAACTTATTGATGCACAAATTTGTTCACATATTATGCTGTCTTTTAACTGTATTTTATTATTTTAATAATAGGAAATTATCTATTTGGAAAGGAGATCCTCTCAAAAAAGACTATGCGGTGACCACTGTATCTCCGATATTTAAAAACCAAACAGACTTCGTTAAAGTAATGTTAAATCTAGTAATTAATCAAAGGGATAAGCAAAATAACATTTACTAAAAAAAAAATCATTTTTACACAAAATTTTGGAATTTAATTAAAAAAAAAAAATTTTTTTCGGTGAGAACAATCATTGATTCATTTCTAAAAAATATACTTAAGAAGCTCATGTTTAATTTGAAGACTCTGAAACGCCCTCTTAAAATTGTCGTGCAACTTTGAAAATATTCATCCTACACTAAAAAAAATAAAATAAAACCGATTTTTTTTAAATTCTAACTGTATACAACCCCTTAAGGTCTCTGTGTCGATTCGACTTTTACAAGAACTTACCCTATCGAAATCCAGAAGATGCTCAATGATTTCGGGCGTGCTCGGGCTGGATGCTGGCGTGGACTGCTGGTCGATCACGAGTGCCAGTCGGCTGCGCTTGATCGACTGCAGCTCGACCACGGGGGCCGGAGCAGAACGCTTTAGCGCGGAGATGATGGGGTGGGGGATGGGGGCTGGGATGGCCACGGCAACGTCGCCGCCGCTGCTGGCAAAGCTGCCGCTGGGCTTGACGTCCTCCTCAAGGCCGAAGCCGAGCGTCTCCTGGCTGCAGCCGTAGAGGCTGCTGGTGTCGTAGGGTGCCAGGTCGGAGAGCAGGGGCTCCTCCGTGATGTACTTGGTGTTGCTGGATGTGGATGTGGCCTGCGAGAAGTTCCACAGGTAGGGGTCCTGGGAGTTGGTTAGCATGGCCTGCTGCTGCTGCTGCTGCTGCGAACCGGGCACTATGGTGATGAGGTCGAGGTCCTGCTCCTGGTTGATATCAATACCGAACATGGACCCTATGTCCAGGGTTTCCTCCTCGTTGGCCAGTGGCAGGTCATCCAAATGTAAGAAGTTTAGGTTGTCGTTGTTCATCTCGTCCATCGCCGGACTGAAGGGATCCTTGCCCTCAAGCTCAATAAGATCCTCGGCAAACATGTTTATATCAAAGTCAAGAATATCCGTCTCAGTAAAAATCTCCTTTCCGTTTTCGCTGCTGCACGTCGATGTAGTAGCTTCTATATCTTGCAGGTATTCTGTGGCAAACAAAAAAACCTTATTAGTATTGAGCATTTACTAATGGACTAAATGAGTGCGTGTAAATTTGTTTAATTTCTAGGTACCCAATTTTGTTGGTTTGGAGAAAGGGGCGAGATATCAGTAAATTGTTAGAATAAATACAAAATATTATTCAAATTGAACTGTTAAATTCAAAATTATTATTCAAATGGTTTTAAACAATTGTCAAGATCATGTAAGTATACACACTATCTACGCCATATTGATTCTACACAGTGTCGCTACTTATAAGTTTCCAAGTTCTCCCGCAGTACTATGCCATGGCAGCGCCAACGTTTTGTTTTACTCGACTTTTTCATTTTACACGCTACGCAACAGCGCTTTTGGTGCCCGTTTTTCAAACTATTCGAGCTGACTCACTTGTTGTCTCGTTCGCACGTTGGTATTGTGAAATTAAAGCGGCGAGAGAAAAATCAAACAAAAAGGGAAAACAACAACAGAGAATGGGACAAACTAAATAAATGCAAGTGAAATGGGAAATTAATAATAACAAAAATGTGTGTGATTAAAATATAATAAAACAATGTTTGTTAAATATGTGCTAACAATTAAAATAATGTAATTAAGCTAGCAGTCAAAATACGTGGATATGCTAATTTGTTAGTGTTTCCCTGGATTACATATGTATGTACATATGTATATCTACAAAAAATAAATATATATAAAAATCAATTTGTCATTACTTTTTGCCAATAGAAGTTAAACGCTCGATTTTGGTCAACAAAATTCCTTCAGTGTTTCTCTTTCGCTCTCCCCTTGCACGCACACATTCATAGAAAAGACACCGGCTTCCCCACACAATGACGCATGGGGCCCATCGACTGACAACAACCACATGAAAACCGAACATGATCATTCCTGCTTGAGTTGCCCACACTTGTGTGTGTGCGTGTGTATGTTAGGGGATGACTTCAAACACTCTTGATTTCAAGTGTAAAAACAAGAATTATATCAAAATAAAATATGTAAATCTAAAAATGAGAAAAAATGCATAGAGAAAACAAAAACAATGGTTAATTTTAAGACGAATGAATTGCCCACAACTGGAACTAATTCTAATCCAATGAATAAAAATAAAAATTCAAAAATGGCTTTAGTTTAAGTTCCAGATAATATTCACCTTTAGCTGGCTATTTGATATAGCGCGTTTAATATTATCCGCTGATTAAAAAAGGCCACTTGACGCTGCAACGATTGAAAACAAACTGCGAGGTTGCGGACCGCGACTTATATCTGAAGACTACGACAGGCCGGCAATATCATCGCCCCTGCTTTAGTGTGCGGGAGCGAGAGAGCCAGCGCGCATGCCCTACACCAACAGCTGACTGCGCAACAAGTCGGGTCGTTCCGCTCACACTCAAAGCAAGTATATGCACTAAGGTGAGAGCGAGAGGCTATTCTCTGCGCCGGCGTCGGCGTTTTCTCCCCAACGTAGTGTTCTTCTGCCAATTACATAGATTTTTGACCGCCATAGGCCGTCGAAAATAAGTTAACCGTTTGGAATGCACCAATACAATTATCACTCGAATTTCATCAGAGCGAAGAAGGTTCGCGAAAATATATTATTACCATTTAAGGCAATGCGTTTCTCTAATGAAAAGTGCATGAAACGATCGAAAGAGCCTGACAAGATCGTCTGGAAATATATATATCTGCTTTTTTAAACATGAGCTTAGATTTTCGCGTAAAAAGACTGCAAGAAACCGAAGAGAGTAAACTAAAACCTTAAAATCAACATACTTTTGGTTAAGAAGTTTTACTTTAAGCCGCAACAGTGCGTATACGCAATGCATTTTGCCAAAAACAAAAGTAAGAGAGCGAGTTTAATTGTATGTGTGAAACACATTTCCCCTGCGTGTCGGCAAATATAACTATCTCTTTCGGAGAGAGAGGCTCGAGCGGTTCCACTGCCGAACGAAAGCAGACGCGAGAGGAAGATAGCGAGAGGAAACTGGAGCGAGGAGTCTGTAGAGAGCACTCACACACCCCCATCACACAGGTGTCTGTGTTTATAGTCACTAGTTCTCTCCCTCTCTCTCTCTTCATTTTTGCGGATCATTCTGATTGAATTTCACAACAAATTTGAAAAACCCTAGAAAGTCCAGCGTACTTGTCAACAATAAAATTTTGAAATTAATTTAATAACACCTAATACTTTCTATAACAAAAACTTCTTTAAAAATCTGTCTATATGTATAGACATGTGTCAGTAAATATGTAGACAAAATGTTGCAATTGCCGGCTAGAAACACGTGCTGCGAAAATTTGGGTCATGAATCAGCTGTTGCACTCTCTCGATTCTGACGTCACAGGCTATACAAGCTAAAAAACAATACCTTTTTTGGACGAAATTACACACTATTGCAAATCTAATCACAAGCTATCAAAAAGAAAACTGCGATATCTTTAAATAACAAATTTTTTGTCCTTAAAAAAAGCTATGAATCAGTTTAATCAGATAATACGGAATATCATGAAAATTCGAATACAATTTTAACCTAACGCGAAAACTTATAGGTAACTTTAAATATGTCATATCAAAAACAAAAAAAAAAAACAGAAGTAAATACAATAAAAAGTCGGGAACAAATAGAACTGGAAAAGCTCACAAATATAATGCATCTAAAGGGCAAAAATTGTTTGCATACATATGTACATACATACATACGTATAAATAATTGGTGGTATGAAATGAACTTTGTTTCTGATTGGACAATGCACTCCAATGGATTACACATATGTATTAACATGCTAACACATAACAAAATATGTATCAGTTGATGTCATTACACAAGATAATATACATATACAAATATAAACGATTTCTTGTTGGTTATCGCTTTTATTCACGCTCTACGGGTGCTGTCGCTAAGACACCAGAATATTGTTTAACTGCGCAATTAGTTTGAGATGGTGTTTAGACTGATTCACTCCAGTCACCGAGAGATAAGACTTGTAACAAATTAAAATAAAAAAACGAAAAATCAAAAAATAGTGTCGGATAATGTATTGTTGCTATGCAAAAATTCCTTGAGATCTTAAAAGTGAAACAAATATCGAAAAAACACGCAAAAAAAAACGGAAAACGTTTAAGAAACGGAAATCTGAATGTAAACGACAGCCAATTCATCTGTTAATAAATCTTGGAGAAGGTAAGTGCTACTATCCACCTTAAAAAGTTTACAATAGTTTATATTGCTAAATTGGGCAACAAATTTTATGGGCGGCTATCTAAAACGGTTCTTTGCAAATTTATAGGGAAGTTCACAATGTTAAGCGACCTCAAATAAGTAGAAAAAATCGAATTTTAAAGTTTGTTCCACTAAACTAAATGCTATTAAATTCAATTCATTCTCAGACATAATATTAATATTCTTGATTAGGAAAATTCAACGGGTTTAACAACCCGTTTAAAGGCCCCCTTAGTAAATTTGTAAACTAGTAAGGTTCATTAATAAGCTTAAACAGTAATGAATGTAAGAAAGAATATATATTTAGGGAGGGGCAAACTGCTTGAATTCTTGCAAGATTCCTATAAGTTAGTAAATAGCATATAATTGCTAAATTGAAGATGTATTGATCTATGACGTATTGATCTATGACGACTTGATTTAGGAACAAAGTAAATAAATGAATACGAAAAGTGTTAGAAACATTTGTGGAAAAAGTGACCGATAAATGGAAGTACATAGACCGAATATCTTGGCGATATGGGTCGTATGAGTAATTACGTAGCCATTTACCGACAACAGGGGCGGAGAGGGGGCGCCTTTCGGCCCCCTGACCCCCCTCAATCTCTCACTCGTTTCTTCAATGGGTCATTGCACTGTGATCTTCGCCTTCGTCCGCTACGTGGTGACTGTACCTCGACGTCCTTGGCAGAGCAACGGCGCCAGATCCTTGGGATCGTGGTCCATGCTCGATGCCTGCTATCTGACTCTTTCTCCAACTGATTGTGAATCATTTGTTCGCTTTGTGTTTAGTTTACGTTAAGCAACAGTAATGAGAGAGTGCTGGGTACACAGGCAACACACACACAAAACACAGTACTCACCATCAATGAACACCGGAACGTCTATCTCTTCAACTGTGGCAGTAGGCATTGCTCCACTCATATCCCGGCGGGATGGCGGCTCGTCCGCACCTGTCAACTGGATACCAGCCATGGCTGCCAGGGTCTGTGTCTGAGGCGTGCTCGACGAAACCGGGACCGTTTGGTTCACCATTGCCGTAGTCGGTAAACCTGCCACCGTGTCTGTTTGCGATCGGGATGTTGGCGTCCCAGTTGCGTGATACGTTGAGATACGGGATCTCCTCTCCGAAGCGATCGGATTTACTAAAGGACTCGTGGCAGGCGAGGCCTGGTTGGCTGGCGGACGCGTTGGTACCGACCCTGGTAAAAAGGGTATTCTTATGATGCGAGTTCGAGGCGTTCTGTGCTCTGTCCCGCTGCGATTGCTGCTGTTGCTGTTGTTGCTGCTGTTGCCTGTGGGCACTCTGATCAGCAGTATTCTGGGATTTGGTTTGCTGTCTATCACGATCGGTATTGTGGTGATCGTCGACGTAGGCGAATCCCTCATAGGCTCCGTTGGCCTCGTTCTCCTCTGAGAGCAGGAGCAATTGGGCCACAAGTTTGTCGCGCCAGCCGCTGGATCCTGGGACGTTGGGTTGGCCTCCTGGATTGTCGCCTCGTATGTGGGTGCCGCCTGTACTCGTGCTGGCTCCTGGATCATCAATATTATATCTCTGGGATTTTCGGTAGCCCTCCTCGTTGGTGTTGGCCCGTTTGTTGCTCTCGCTGCTGGTAGAATAGGATGCGTTGCTCTGGGGGTTGCTCTTGGTGGTGTTGCTGATGTGGCTCTGCTCTTGGTTGATTGGGATGCTGTTGTTTGATTCGCTCTTGGGCCTGGCTTGGCTGGTTTGGGCTTCGACGGAGAATGCCATTTTGAACGTGGCTGTTGTCGCACAATGTTCAATGTTCAATTCAATGCAATTCAATTCAATTCGATCGGGGCAAGTTTACGGTTTGGTGTACGGTTCGTTTTCAATCGGTTTCGGTTCGAAAGGATATCAAATTTCATACGTATTCGTACAATTTTTATCGATTCGTATAGGACATTTGGCGATGAGTGGAGCAAGCGCAGTTAAGAGTGTACGTAATATTTGTTTTGATTTTTATGTGAAAGAAAATAGACAAAAGAAAAAAGATTTTGTTATTACACAGATCGACGACGGGCAGAAGCGCGATCCTTTTTAAAGGGACTCGCGCCTCAAAGAATCTTGTGGCTTGGGTTGGGTTAGCAAATGTACAAGTGGTGGTTGCGGGCCTCGGTGTCGCAGGGATATCAAGGATATGCCTGGCCACCGATTTTTTTGGTCCATCATGTTTGACTGGCGACTTTCAACAGCTTGGATGTTTGATGCTTTGTGTCAAGATGGGTGGTTAAGTGGTTGGATATGTGGGTAATGTTCTTTTCTTGGCCTTGCTATGTTAGTTTGCTTTCCATTTTTTCTTGTGTTTTTATTTTTTCCATATATTTTTCCCATTTTCTTTCTGTGTATTTTTAAAATCTTTTCCTTTTGTTGGTTATTTTGTACATGGATTACTCCTTTTTTCTTTTTTGGATTTTATCCTTTTTTGTTTGGAATTACTCCTTTTTTCAATGGAATTTCTCCTTTTTTTTGTATGGAATTACTCCTTTTTTTTAGTTGGAATTGCTCCTTTTTTGAATGGAATTACTCCTTTTTTCTTTTTCTTTTTCTTTTTCTTTTGTATTTTGTCTTTTTTCTTTTTTCATAAAACATTCTTACAAACTAGTGGTGCAAGGACTAAGAAAGTCAGGCAGTCATGAGGCATGGCTTAATAATATGAGACGAAAAGGATTTTAAATACTCACTTTTAATTGACCGTTAGAAAGAAACAATGAAATTGTTAGGGTCCCTCTAAACAAGCTCTAAAAGAGTCGTCGACACAAGTTCCCCTTAAGCTGTAAGCAAAGAAATGAAGAACGCACATTACTTATAGGCCCCACAACACGATGATTAGTTTGATAAGGGCGAATGGATTTTCCTTAATAATCTTCAGTGACAATTAAAGATAATTTTGTTTTTCAACCAAATGGTTCCTCATTTGATAGGTCTGTCTTTCAATTCTTATAGATAAAATTCACTTACGCCTACACGCATATTTTTTTCAGGGCGGCCTGTGTTGCGAAAAGCTTTTTCTGAATTTCACAACAGGCCCGCCGCAAAAACAACAACATGGGCAACAGGTCTCTATACACCAAATGGATGGGTCCAGGTCCATCGGGGAAATTGGGAGGTCTAATCAGCAGTTGACACTAAGATAATTAAGGCACAGGCACAGGTTCGTGTCGCTACATTATTATCGCACTCAGATATCTGAATTCGTGAGGCCGGTAGAAAAAACACCAGAAAGCAATTACCGGGTAGTGGAAAAATTTCCCCAAAAGCACACGCGAGCTTTGGCTAATTACACACTAATAAATGTCACACGAACACCGGTACATAGCGCCCTATAATTAAATGTTTCGACAAAAATCCCCTACTGGCTATTGTATTATACTTTTCGATTGTATCTGTATCTGTATCTGTATCTGCGTTTGCTTGAGGGCAAATGACGTCAGCAGTGCACTTAAGTGATTCAATATGGCGACGATAGAAACAACAAAATAAAGCTCTCTAAATCGTATAGTATATGCCATATAGCATATGGAATGTAAAGTGATTTTCACTTGAATTGACTAGTAATTACTTACATAAATTCGGTGAATGTGTCCTCAAGCGCGGTGGTCTGGTTTTTTTTGGAAACCCGACCGCGAATTCACTTGTCTTTTCTGCTACGCAATAGGTTGGGTGGTTCCTGGCACCACCACTTGGTTATTGGTTGAAGTCCGGCCGTTGCTCGGATATGCGAGATTACTTTTGCTACCGACAAATTGTCCACAATTGTTGCTCCGCGTTGAACAACAACGATTGCTTAGTCTTTGCACTGGGGTTTTCCTTGCGACAGGAACTTGGGTGACTGTATCTATAAGGCTTCACTGTATACAGTATACTGTATACGCAGAACTATTCACTTTGGGATCTGAATGAGTCAAGTCAACCGTCTGCTTTCAGTATTCACTACGTTTTGAATTGAACGAACCGTCGGTGGAACGCTGTTAGCGGCAAACAGAATCGAAACTGTTGGATCTGCTGGGCACTGTGAATTTCATTCGTTGTGAAATTCAAAAAGCACCCCAGAAACCGGTTTGCCATAGCCAGATACTTTTGCTTATCGGTGTGCGGCCGAGCTTTGCAGTTGCTCACTCTCAGATACACGTACTGCGAGATACGTTTGTGCGCGAGCGAGAGAAGGCTAAATTTCCCCTGTGCCAGATGGCCTGCTTCCAAGAAATTTCCCTGGCTACAAGTTGAAGGCCTTTGTTCCAGCCGGCCGGTGATTTTGCCAAACAAAACATTGCAAAGTTGATCTATGTACATGTACTACCATATAGTAGCATATAGTAGGTATTCATGCTTTTTTAAGCACTGTTCTATTGGGAGCATATGAGTCATCGTTTGTTTGGGTGCTAGGAAATGAAACCTAGGAATCCACCGCCTGTCAACTGACCTATCACAATGGACGGAATTTTTAAATCTGTGCATTTATAAATCTAATAGATCTAGTCTAAAAAAATAGATAAAAAATCAAACTCAATCTACATATATTGATTTTATGTATCTTTTATGTAACATTAATTTCAAATATTATGACTAGAAAGGAATTGTTGAATATTATTTTTGACAAGTCAACAAATAACTTTCTCTTGAGTTGGAAATGCGAAAAATTAGAACACATTCCATTAGATGCATTACATGCCTGCAGACATGTATTGGATTAGCTTTAAAAAATACCTATACATTAGGCAAAAGGGGTGATTAGGTTGATTGTTTATAAAAATTCAACCCTCAACATTTCATTTCCAAGACTGGTTGGCCATTTATAATAAAAGACTATGAACCCCACGACAATGCAAAAGCCGTTGAGTATTTCAAAATGGGAAATTTACTTATATAGTCTTTCTCTTTACTTAAAGCTCTCTCTTCCACACATTTAAACACGAAAAGCTTTCTTGTAATGGTATTAGTCACCTCTGTTTAATTGTGTGCTCAGATAAAAGCTGCTTGAATTCTCGGAATCGAAGAGCTTCCATCTGCCCACAAACCTACATTCATACCATCTGCCCGAGGTTGAATGTTCAGTTGTGCAAAGCTTTAACTGATAATTAAAGAAATCCATGAGTCATGCTGAAAAACAGAAACCAGCAAAGCGAAAAATGAGCTTCAGCAGTTGGCAAAAACTGTCATCATGTGATATTTGTAATGGGCCTGATATGCAGACGAGTACACGGCGTGGGGGTTTTCATTATTTGGCCACGTCCGACTTTAGCCGCCAAAAGCTGTGGAGCTTAATTGCCAGCCCACACAGGTGCGCAAAATTCGCGGAATTTTCCCCCCAAATGGCACGCACACTCTGACTTTCAAATGCTAATCTGGCACCGCGCACCGACTGGCACGAGATCTTGGGAGATCGACGACGACCCATCAACAATGGCCGGCCTTAGTTGGCGAATTACCAAAATAAATGTGGGTTTCTTTTAGTTTTTTTTTCACGATGATAGAGCGTTTTTCGATCTCAAAGAAGGGCCAGATAGAGGTGTTCATATAGCCAAATTGTTGGCGTATAAAGAAAGACTATTAATTGTTCGATTTTGTAATCTTATCTTAAATTCGCTATCAATCCAGTTTATCTGCAACGTGAACTGAAAATGTGTTGGCTATATGACTAAGTTTGAAGACATTTTCAATGATCGTTATGTGGGGGGATCACTATGACCGATTGTAAAGCTACAATGCTCTTAAAAACCTATTTTGGTAAAGACTTTTTACTATTATTATAATAGTCACTTCTTAATTCGTTTTTGATAAAAAAGTTTGGAAGATTTTACAGATACTTTTTTAAAAGTTTATTACCAAAGAAATTAATTAAATATGCTAAATCAATGGGTGTCGTTTATTGACCTTAAAATTTTCTTAATATAAATTAATATATTATATTCACGAATTCATTCTGTCACATTGAAGTAATGAATTTATGACCATCTGTCTATACCATCATATATTAATTAATTAATTCGTTATAAACAGCATGTGTTTCCCAATTACTAAGACACCCTCATAACAAGCTTTTTTGGATTGCCAGCCCCTTCAAGGTGTTCGTTTACAATTGGCCTAAATGGGAGGGCTCGTCTATACCCGATGTAGTTTGTAACTAGTACCAATGTCAATGACACTGGCAGCAAACAAAACTGTTGCTGGGGTCAGGATACGATACGATAGTAATGATAGTGGCTTACCCTTCATCATGGTGCTGCCGTGATAAGCAGGTTCCAATGACGACGGCACAAATATGTTGATCCTTGTTGCTCCTTTTTCTATGGTGGACTGTGATTGTATCGTATCTGCTTCAAAAACAAGTGACGCTAAAGCGACGGCGAACGATGATGTCCCGCTTCTTTCGTAGCACCTTGGAGCGCTTTAGGATCTTAGTGCCCGTACCAGTACCGGTGCCGATCGTCGGGATATTGATCGAATTGTTGCAGTAATACTTGATATTATGCCAGCCACGCATACGCATACACATACACATAAAGTTATTGAGCATGGGAACCTGCTGCTGCGAATGTTGCACACACATGAAGACAACGACAGGCGAATGTTGCATGACGTTCTTGCTCGACGCGTTGTCTGATTTTCCGCTTTTCCTCGCCGCTGCTGTTGTTGTTGTTTTCGCACCAACCGCAGACAGAACGAACATAATATTGGGGCAAAGAGCCTTTGTTTGTGGTATTATTCGCACGGATTTGGCTAAAGTGACAGCGCTTTAGGATCGGACGTATGTTTAATGTACTTGATAAGTGTTAATTCACGCACGCTTATCTATATAGCATCTAGATACAACTGTTATCTGAGATACTGTATGTAAAGTATATAGACGTAGATATTGTTTGTTTTTTGGCCAATTTATTGCGTCTTTCGCAAATGTTTTTCTGGCAAACCTTAGTTTATCTCTTCGAACTTTGCACTCAACGTTGAGTTTATCTTGTAAATTTCACACGCAAAGAAATTACTGTTCTATGAATAAGAAATCTTTGTAACGATGTTCATTCGTTGATGCCATTAAGAATCGCAATTGATTGTGATTTGGTTATAAAACACGAATCGAAAATTTCACAAATTCCACACTGATTTACACACGAATAGCTTTATCTGCCTTGACTCACTGAAATGTTGTTCTGTTCGCGACGAAGTATTGTTACTAACTGACTCAACGGCGAGCGCTGGACGATTGCCGCTGTCCGGGGTTCATATAAATTTTGCTGACGTCGTTACCGGGTCTCCTTCACCGCCCTGTTTGTATACCCTTCCCTCCGTCCATTTCATCCACGCGCTCAGCTGCCGTGTCTATTTCTATGGCCGTGCCCCCAAAACATTTCCACTCAACGGATCTCCTTCTTTTCGTGATGCTTAGGATGGGCCACATGAACACAAGCATCTCCAATCCATAACTTCGTAGCTTACAAACGTGTGGAGAGTATTAATCATTACATTTGTCAAGTAAATAAAATAAATTTTGCAAAATATATCTATTCAAACCAGAATATAATAATATATAATATATATATATATAACAATAAAAACATGATAAATAATATTTAAATGGAATCTCTACAACTTTATAGTTTTTTAAAATTTCAACAAATTTTATTAACAATGTGTATATGCAATTTTTCGAAGATAGCGTGAAAATCGAAGCTATATTAATCATAATTCCAAATTTTTCTTCGCTCGCGCCAGCCAGTATCAAAATGGCATAGATAACATTTTGGCCACATTGTCGGCTTATCAAGCACCGCCGAAATGGCTGCAAAAGATAAGGGAAGCTAAAAAAAGATTAAAGCTAGTTTTGCGACCAGATAATTTACAAATGTCGGCACAATGGTTGTAAATTATCTCAAACGTTTTTGCTTTTATCTGAAAGGGTTAATAAACTGGAAAGTTTTTGGTAAATGGATTGCGAAGGATTGGAGAGGTAATGACATTATTATAGTTAAGTAACTCCTGATGGGGATTTAATCATGCATTTTAAATTAAATATTAAAGGTGAAAAATAATAAAATTAAGCAAATATCTTTTGAAGATAAATATAACGGCAGCAGAACACATAAAATTATTATTGGTGTTCAAAAAATATTTATTTTGTGGGATAGGTGCACACTCCCCTGCCGGTAGCATTTATGACATAAAATTACTTATATTAAAGTCGTCAGTGTCCGTTCCCAAAAGTGTAGGGCAACTTGTTTGGCGGCCTGCCATGGAGCAACAACAACTGAACTCTCACAGCATTTCGCACTCTTTCTCTCCCTGCTGGGAAACTCTTTTAGCTCGCTCTTTCTCTTCTCTTGTGGGTAAGATTGGCTGATGCAACACTTGCCACACGTTGCAACAGCTGTTTGGGTGGGCCTGGCCCAGCTGATTGCTCAAATTTCCCTCACCAATGTTGGCCAAAAAGGGGTGGCTTAAACCGTAGAAGCTACGTCGGCTAAAATTAGCCGGAAAAATGATTCACATTAGGGGTTGTCCTGTCCACTTACATAATGTTCTGGCACGCTTTTGTCGCTGGAAGAAAATACGCTTTTAGCCAATTTGTGATACATAAAATGTACATATGTACATCTCATATACAAACAGATATTTGTTTGCAGATATACAATTTTGGCCATGCATAGTAGCTTCGCAACTTGGGATTGGCATAGGAACACTGACGTGGTTTCATTGGGGCACTGGAGCCCGGTTTTTATCTTGTCTGTGTGGTGCACGATAAAATCAGTAACAAGAAAATCTACGTGTTGATCAACTAATGGCCAGACTTTGCCCGAAATCTTGATAATGTACATTTGTATGTACATATTAACTAAATGGATTTTCATGTCAGTCACGAAATATTACCATTTAAGATATACGGCAAGGTATAATCCAATTAATTATACACATGAATAGTTAAAACACGGCCAATGTTTTTTTTTTAAGCTAAAATTAAATAGTAATATTTTGTTTGCATTTTTAAATTAAATAAGAGTGCTATTAATTTTAAACACAATTAAAATTGTTGTAAGTTCGCTTACGTTGTCAAAATACTGTTGGTGTTTAACTATGTTGTTTTAAAATTTTTTTTTTAAATGTGTAATTTTAAAGAAAGTGGGATGTTTATTGATTAAAAGTTTTTTATATTTCTATCAAAGTCAATATAAAAAATATCTAAACTATGAATATATGAAAAAGCAAACAAGACAGACCTCTGGATCTAAACAACGATTATACTGTATAGCTTTGTAAAAATAAGCATTAAAAACAAATTTTGGTTGCAATTTATATGTATGTACATCAATGTTAATTTCAACCGAATATTATGAAAAGAGTTTGCGATGACACCTTTAAAAGCGTCGTTTTGCAATTCGATTTAGGGATTTACTTTAGTTTTGTGTACCATGGGAGTACTGTAGTCAAACCACTATGAAAGAAAGTCGGGCAAAGTGAATGTACCTAGATGCCCTCCCGCTGAGCTCATGTTGTGAGCGGGAGATTAAAACGTGAGCTGTGATTCGAATTGAAATGGGACTTAAGCTGAGACGGAGAAATGAGACTTTGTATTTACTTGAAAAGTATCGGACTCTCTTGGTGCGGACATCAGTCCGGTGACGACGTTCAGTGAATTGTCTTGTTCGTCAGGGTCTTTTAGATTTTTTCTGGGACGTAAACCTGGATTTGCTTGTCATGCTGTTGCTGCAGTGGATAGTTCCACTTTTAGTGATTGGAGGATGCTCCGCTGGGCCGCAGAACGTGCTCCTACTCCTGGCTGATGATGCTGGCTTCGAATCGGGCGCCTATCTGAACAAATTCTGCCAGACGCCTCATCTGGATGCACTGGCCAAGCGTGGATTGCTGTTCAACAACGCGTTTACTTCGGTGAGCAGTTGCAGTCCCAGTCGGGCACAATTGCTCACTGGTCAGGCCAGTCACTCCAGTGGAATGTACGGACTTCACCAGGGCGTTCACAACTTCAATGTCTTGCCGGAGACCGGATCGCTTCCGAATGTGCTACGTACGCAAAGTGGCGGTGGGATCTTTAGCGGCATCATTGGCAAGAAACACGTTGGAGCTGCTTTCAATTTCCGTTTCGATTTCGAGCAGACAGAGGAGCAGCATTCGATCAACCAGATTGGCAGGAACATCACTCGGATGAAGGAGTACGCCAGGCAGTTCCTAAAGCAAGCAAAGGACGAGAAGAAGCCCTTTTTCCTAATGGTGGGCTTCCATGATCCACATCGTTGTGGCCACATTACACCGCAGTTTGGCGAATTCTGTGAGCGCTGGGGCAGTGGTGAGGAGGGAATGGGCAGCATTCCCGACTGGCAGCCCATCTACTACGATTGGCGCAATCTGGAGGTGCCCGCTTGGCTGCCCGACACGGATGTGGTGCGCCAGGAGTTGGCTGCGCAGTACATGACCATCTCCAGGTTGGATCAGGGTGTGGGTGTGATGCTCAAGGAACTGGAAATGGCTGGTTTGGCAGATCAAACCCTCGTGATCTACACCTCCGATAATGGACCACCTTTTCCCGGGGGCAGAACTAATCTCTACGAGCATGGCATACGCTCACCGCTGATTATTAGCTCTCCAAGGAAGGAGGATCGCCATCATGAAACCACGGCAGCCATGGTTAGTCTACTGGATATATATCCAAGTGTGCTGGAGGCTCTTGAGATTCCCAAGCCGAATGACACCAAGATCGTGGGAAAATCCATACTGCCTGTTTTGAGAGAAGAACCTTCGATTAAGGAGAGTGACTCGGTGTTTGGCAGCCACAGTTACCACGAGGTGACCATGGCCTATCCCATGAGAATGGTGCGGAACAGGCGCTATAAGCTTATCCACAACATCAACTACTGGGCGGACTTTCCCATCGACCAGGACTTCTACACCTCACCCACCTTCCAGCAGATACTGAATGCCACAATCAGCAAGCAATCCCTGCCCTGGTATCGATCCCTGCTGCAATACTACCAGAGGCCCGAGTGGGAGCTGTACGACATTAAGGCCGATCCCTTGGAGCGATTCAATCTGGCAGAGAAGCCCAAGTACAATGGCACCCTCAAGCAGCTGCGACAACAGCTCTTCGACTGGCAGGTGGCCACCAAGGATCCCTGGAGATGTGCCCCGCACGCAGTCCTACAGGAGCAGGGCATCTTCAAGGATCAGCCCGCCTGTCTGACTTTGGGCCACGAGGCACTGCAGCGATCCAAGCGCAAAATACTCAGCCAGTACGAAGAGTATGTGGTCCTTTCCTAGGTCTGACCAGGTAATTCTTAGATAGTGTTTGTTGTCTTATCGCACCTTGAATAAAAACACTCTGCAGTGCTGATAACACAACCAATTACTTGTTTTTCACCTCACAGGCGGCTACAATTGTTATCAGAAAGTTAGGTATTATTCGTTTTGTATAAATAATATTATGAACAGGTTATAAGAAGGGCGTAATTTTGACTACTTTGGTAGAAACACTCATACTCAATTTATGTATTTTTCGCTTTGTAATATCTGAAAATAACCTTCAATTTAAACCATATTAAACTTAAATATTATGCATTTAAAACAAATAAAAACCATTTTAAATATAATATTTTTCACATGAGCCTAAAGGGGTTTATATATGCTTGTGCAATTATTATAATTATATTATATTATAATTTTATACTTAATTTAAATATTACATATAAAATTTTTTAATCATTCATATTATTATGGGTGTAGTCCAAGGTCAAGTGAGTAAAGGCAATTAAGAATGAAAATTTATTTTATTAAGTAAAGCTTGAAGCTTTAAAAAAAACGCATTTTATTATTTTCGATTTTTAAAATTAACGAATTTTATAAAATTTTACAAAGATAAATTTTATAACCGAACCGAAAAAAAACAATACGCAACTATAAATAAATCCTTTAATTGCTAATAGAAACGCGACCAATGTTTTTGAAAACCATTGGAATAACAAAAATCAAAACATACGTATACATATAGACCTTTTCTACTTCACAATCTACATTCTAAATGTACTAGCAAACACAAAACACTTTCTTAAGATCCAGACCTTGATTTTTACCTTGAAAGTGCTTGCAACAAGGGGCAAAGAATGGAAACGAATTGCCCAGCCAGCTTCAAAGGTTGCATCAGCCCAGACTGACGAGCACTCGTGGCACTGGCAACATGACCTCAGCCACTTTGGGGTGGCAGGATGGATCCACGGGGTGTGGATGCTGCGTCACGTTTCAATGTCATGCCCATTGGAGGGGTAGTCGATGGTGAAGGGAGGATGTTGTTGCCTTCGGGGGTGGCGCACACTTTTCCGCTCGTCTGTGTCTGTGTGGAAAATCGAAAATTTCAATGCTTCTCGGGTTTATTGGTGGCGCCTCAGTCTCCGCATCGGCATCCTCATCCTCATCCAAATCCCCGAGCCGAGCAGCATCCGAGTCAGTGTTACACAACAGGCAAGGGCAGCACGTTTTAAGGTCAGCTGGCAAATGGGAAATATCAAAGAGTAAACGTAAACGCTGGACTTTTCGCATTTATGACTTTGAACGAAAGACACATTAAAAATTAAATTTTATTAATTTTGGTTTGCATAAATTAGGTTCATCAGTTTTAGCGTAATTATTATATGTATATGGTTTATAATGTATATTATTTAAGTTACCGCCCACACAAATGCATAATTACAATAATTATTGTTTACACTTCTGCGCTCGTCAGTGGGACAGAGAATGTGTGCTTGGATAGATAGTCGCTGGCGATACTGAGGATCCCCAAATGGGGCCCTCTGGAAATGATCGCTCCGCTGGCTTTCTGTCCGTCCACGAGGCAAATGTTTTATCTCTGGCTCTCAAATTGAATTCTGTTAAATTGTTTCTCTTGCTTTTCGGCTTTTAGCATTTTAACTAATTTATTATCAACACAAGTTGCATGGATATCAATTCAATTCAATTTCGCTTTATACGTAAATATACTTGTATATCTTGTGTATATCTTGCTTAAACGTATATACATTCGTATATAGTGCTTAGCTTGTTCCGTTATATGCCAACATGAGACTATTTTAATAATTTTATCGGTTTGCTATTTGAATTCTTATATTCTTTTGGGTTTCTCTTTTAATATATAAATATTTGATCTAGAGTCGCGGTCAGTAAACGCGTTAGTAGGTTCGTAAGTGTTGCTATGCTTCGATTGACTTGACTGGATTTTGCTTACGTTTAGAGTTATTATTATCAACATTTTTCTGGAAATCGTTTAACTAGTTTTATGCTGGTTGGTATTCTTTAGGAGGATTCTGTTACATTTACTTTGCCGCTAGTACTGTTTGTTTATCTGTCATCATCGTTTTTGTTTGTTTTTAATATTCATTATATTGTTTACGTTGCTGCTCAGTATAATTTATAATAAATACATAATAATAAATATACATGTAGATAATACGCTTAATAAATATATTTATACATATATTTGATTTCATTTAATATATATATATATTTAGTTGTTATGTATATAATTAACAAAAAAAACAACACACATAAAAAGGAGCAAAAAGTAGGATACAAATTTCGCTTGTTTCATCCTTTAAAGAAATTGAATTATTCTTTACATTGAACAACGAACATCAAGAACGGTATTCCGTATTCCTTTTAGAATAGAGTGTGGGGAGTATTGTTTTTGCACAAATATACGTAGGTAGAGTAGGTATAGGTATTTCGGGTATATAATAAATATAATATATGTGTGGCGTATGATGTGGATACGTAGCGTTAGCCTATAAAGGGAACTTGCATAGATAGCGCATTGGCGTAGGTAGGTTTAAATTACAACGATGAGACCGGATAAAAGTCGTAGGCAGGAGGAAGGAACAACTTAGGGAGTAAGTAAGAAAAAATTACGCGCTTCCATGGGTGAACGACGAGAGTACGGGTAATTTAGTTAATTAGCTACAGTTTTTGCTTATGCCGCCGACCACGAACTGTTCTAATACGTGACCTATTGTGTGGAGTTAGCACTAAGAGTTCGCATTGCAGCGAACAACATCGCCGACGTTTGATTGAGAATCAAAAGTGAAAACGCAAGGAAGTTGCATTGCGCGCGTAACATCTTGTAAATTTAGTTAGTTAATTCGTACATTAATTTAACTCGTAATTAATTTGTTAATTATTGTGTTGCCAACTGGTAAAATTTTCGCACATAAAATTTAGTTAGCTTGCATATGGCCACCATGAATTTAGCCTGCTGTGTGCTGCTAGCTAAGCCGTATCGTAATATCCGTAATCGTAGTAACCCGCTCTTCTAATTCAACTATATATATATATATTTGCATCTATGTGCTGCTTCGGCTGCCTTTGCATCTGCTGCCCACTTTTGCGCCTCTGATGGCGAAACCAACATTAAGGTTATTGTTCTCCAATCCGCGATCTACGTACGTCTTCAGCCAGTTTTGATAGGATGGGTTGGATTGACAGGATGGGAGTTGGGATTTTGGGATCAAGATCTGAATCAGCTTAGTTGCCGTTGGGCAGGGGCACCTGAACCTGGACGTAGGACTGCGGGAAGTAGCCGGTGCGACCGTTCACCGCACCCTCGTACCAGTTGTCGTCCACGCGATTCAACAGGGTAATGATGTCGTTCTCCTTGAACGCCAGCTCGCCGGGGTTCTCCGGCTCGAAGTCGTAGAGGGCCTGGCAGCAGGGCTGCTGCTGGCGCTGCGGCGTCACGGCCATCGACTTGGCGGGTGAGCGCATCGGCGAGGGCAACGGCGAGGCGCTCGAACTAATGTGAGACGGCGTGCCATCTTCGTTGAGGCCGCCGCCACCGCCGTCCAAGTTCAGATCGAGCAGCGTCTTGGGCACGAACTCGTTGCGTGGCCGGCTCTCCGCCTCGGATCGTTTCTCCTGCAGCGTCTCCTGCAGGCCGCGCAGGATGTCGGCGCACTGCGAATGAAAATCGTACAGTGCCTCGGCAAAGGTGACCATCTGGGAGACATGCTCCGTGTCGTTCTCGAGCAGATTGAACATGCCCACTTGGGCCAGCTGGAGTGATTCACCGAACTTGTCCTCGGCACCGCGAATCTCATCATCCTTGGCCTGCCGGCGACGCTTGCAGTCGAAGTCCAGACGCCGGCCCTGCAGCTTCTTGCGATGATGCATGACCTCCTTGAGGTCTTTGGTCTGCATATGATGCAGTGGCTCCAAAAAGTTCTGCTTGATGTTGTCGTCCAGCGAATACTTGACGTCGGCCATCTGTTTCAACGCTTCGCCGAATTCGACGAGCGCCTGCGCGAACACGCTGTTGTCCTCGCCGAGCTTCTTCCCATAAGTCAGCATGCATTCCGCGAGCAGGCCCTCCGGCTGCGGATACGTATTGGACTTGGCCTGTCCGGACAGCTTCGAGATGCCCTTGACCGCTGCCATCTTGGCCCGCGCCGTCGGATTCGGCTGCAGGAACTCCTTGGTCTTCAGCTGCAGCTCCTCGACCAGCTCCACCGTCACGTCCGTCTTGCGCTCCATCTCCATGAAGTCCATGTCCAGTTTGGTGCCCTCCGCACCGCCCATCTTCTCCGTCATATACTGGTTGGCCTTGTTGATCTGCTTTTTGAGTCCGGCGAAAGCCATGGCTGCTGCTGTCTTCTGGTTTTTCCTCGGGCGCAATCAATGAACTGGATACTCGATGCTGGATGCTGGATACTGGCTACTGGCTGGGGGCAGTGGCAGTTCGACGCAGTTGCTGTGAACGGGTTGGTTGGGTTAGTCGAGACTCAATTTCGTCGACGTCGTCGTCGTTGTCGTCGTCGTCGTCGTCGTCTTGTGATTTTAATTTCAATGTCAATATCAATATCAAATCAACAAATCATCAATGGGCGCTGGATGAGCGTTTCTATTTTTAAACGTTTACGTTTGGAAGACTTACGCGGCGCCTGCACTTTTCTTTTCCTCGCTTTTGGGGGGGTGGTGGTGGTTTTTTCTCGCTTTTCCTGCTTTTCCTGCTTTTCTTGCTGTTCTTCGGGAGGCTGTGGCGCAAATGCAAATGCCAAAGCTATCGCGTTCGAGTTCTACTTTTCCGCTGGCACTTTCACTCGCTTCGCTTGCTCTGCACGTTCTGCCCTCTTTCGGTCAGCTCTGCTCGTAATCTTCGATTTTTTCCAGAACCTTGGGCTTTGGGCTGCGTAATGTTTGAAGGACCGTGAGTCGTTACTACTACTACTAGTCGCGCGCAGGGGGGCGGGGGCTTTGGGTCGCGTTTTTCTCTGTTTTCCTCGAAAATCAATATCTTGGCTGTGTACAACACGAATTTGCAACGGCGCTAGATGTGGGAAAATAAAATATCGGTCCTATCGTTGTTTGACAGGGATCATCGAGGCTTTTCCATCCCTAACGATTCCACTGCATACTCTGTTATCATTATTAATCGATTATCCGATATACTTTTACCAAAGCTATTGGAATTTACCGTCGCTAGGGCCATGTTAAAGCCATTATGTTCTGATTTTGAATTAAGTTTTAAGCAAATTTATTTATCTGCAGGATATATATTTTAGTTTTTCTTATTTGAAAATGGGTGGGTCCTTTAACAGAGTCCTTTACGCTTTTACAAATGCTAATATATCATATATTTAAAAACTCAATTAAATTGCTGACTTGAGGAATAATTTTGGTGCTCTGCCATCTATTTTTCATGTAATTTTTAAAGTTAAAATCCTGTTCGTCAATTGCAAAAAAATTTCTTGATGTAGGACAACCGTTTTGTATGTAATGTTACATTTATTTAAAGTACAATAATGCAGTCGAATTTTAAACTTGGCGGCTCTATAACAGAAGGAAAATGTAAACAACGATAATATTCACTTAACAGCTGCTGGACTACCTTAACATATTCGCGCCAAATGTTAGCATACTGTTATTCAAATATAAGAAAATTTTAAAATTTTAATTAAAATTCAAGTTAATGCTAAAAAAGGTGCTAAAAGGGATTAGCTACTGTTGGGAATTGCTTAAAACAATAATAAGATGAGTGGCTGGATGACTCAGAGTGGGATAAATTATATAACAAAGTAATTTTGTGCAAAAACATGCAACAGACCTTCCAGCAAAACAATTAAGTTTATCTTGCCGAAGTGTGCTCAGGATTTTCAACCGGAAAGGTCCAGATAGAGATCTCTTGGTATTGTAAAAACCGGTGACGTCATCGCATGAAATAGCAACTTTAACTATCCAACATTCCTACACACAGTTTTGCCTTATCTATGCAGATAACCCCCGAAGGGTACTTAGCACCTGCAAACGGCGAACAAACAATGAACATGTAAATCAGTTCAATCGCAGTAGTTTAATATAGTTATATAGATACAAAAGATAAGATCATCTCGGCGTGTTTTTAATGGCGTATAAAAGCCCAGAAGCATACACTATCCAGCAATTAGTCTCGACGAAACCACAACGACTGAGAACCAACCGAACTCAGAAGAAAATGAAATTCGCAATTGTTCTACTGGCGGCCAGCATTGCCTGCATCAACGCCCAGGTGAGGAGATATAGCAGCCCCGATAAGTGGATTATTATTATGCAACAGGTTTAATATATTTCTCCTTGAACCTTAAAGGCTCCGCTAGCCGGAAATCCCTTTGCCGCCGCCAATCCCTATGCGGCTGCCTTTAATCCCTTCCTAAACGGAATATTCGGCGGTGCCGGCACTGGAGCTGCCGCTGGAGTGGCCGCTCCGGTTGCCCCAGCCGCTCCCTTTGGCGGCGCCTCGATTTCCTCCTTCTTCCAGTCGATAGTCCTGCAACGCGAGGCGGAACGTCTGCTTGCCCAGCCCGATTTCCCCGTCGATCTGGCCGAGCGGGTCCAGGAAGTGGTGGCCAGCTCGCAGGAGGCAATCAGTGGTTGCGCCAACGTCACCCTGCCCTGGCTGCAGATTCGCTGTGTGAAGCCGCTCCTAACCACCGCCAAGAACCAGCTCAAGGTCATCGATGATGAGTGGCAGGCGCGTCTGGCCGCCGCCCCCGCTGCAGCAGCTCCTCCTGCCTAGGATGCTTGTTCTGTCTTCCAGCTGCCCTACTTAATATCCATTATTCCTTAGCTATAGCTAGCAATCGACCAACATAGATGCAATATAATTTAAATAAGCTTAATGCTGGAATGCCCTTTTCTTCTTCGTGATGGTTGGTGAACAAGTGGGGGAGGGGGGAAGGCGGTGGCCTGAGAGTCCTGACCTAGGACATGCTTTGATGTGGCCAGGCCAGCTTTGCATTCCGCTGCTGCTTTATTAAATTTCCCATCGGGAATTACAAATTTTGGCGTTGCCTTCTTGACGCTTCTCGGGGCGCAAATACTTGGCTGCTCACGTCACCATCGAAAATACTAGTTCAGCCCGTTTGTCCTCGATGAATAGGATGCTAAATGCCTCTGGGAAAAGCAGTGGTGTTATTTTTTTATGGATCAATATAAGGAAATTAAATGTGTTTAAGCTTAATAGATTTATAATTTTATTTTCAAAAAATTTGAGAATTTGTTTACTAAATAATTTGACATTGATTAATAAAATGCTAACATTTTAATTTTAATTTAATAATAAAATACTCACACTTTAATTGATGGCAATTTGATCATGATGTCGAAGACATATGCTTTAGTTTGTTAAGAGAATAAATATAAATACAATTAATAAATATATTTTTGTTAAATTAAGCGAGTAAGTAGGTATAAAGTAAACTTAAGATTTCAAGGGTCAGAATCTCATATTTGTATTAAGCTTTGGAAATATTTTACTTAGACTTATTTGAGATAAACCGACATCACTGTGGCGCACACTTGAGTCTGGGTGGAACTTGACGCATTTTGGCCAAATATTTGAACTACGTTCCTCCGCCTTAGCTGTTATGCTTTGCTGGTGGCCTTACCACCCCTCCCTCTTTTCGGAGGGGTTATGACAGCCCTTTTATGCATTTATCAATTGGCGCTGCCAAATTGTTTCCAGTGCATGATTTGGTTCTCAATTGGTCCTCCGTTGAGGGTCGGGAGTTCAGCTCGCTTGATTTGCGTTCAGTTGCAGCGGCAATGTTGATTTATGTGCCAGGCCAGCTCCAATTATCCAATGTCCTTAACCAAATGGCCGGTCGGCCGTCCTGCCCTTTCGATTCGAATCGAATCGATTCGATTTGATATGGCATTTGCATTCGCATTTGAATTCGAATTCCAAGCCAGGACCTGTGGTTATTAAATGGCTTGGCTTAACGAGCCAAAGACTGGCCAAAAATGACCAACTGTCCGGTCTGCCGGATGATGGATAAGCCACGGACAAAGCCCCTTTGGGCTGGGCTTAAGTTTAAATTCCAATATGTAATTAAATGTAAATTTCAAATATACACAAGAGCCGCCGGGAATGATGGGGAGTGCAAAGTTTGGGCCACTTAATTGAAATATTTCAAGATTCAAACTTGAGTTGGCCGTTGTCATTACAACAACAGCAGCTAACTAGAGCAGCCGCTGCCGCAACTTGTAAAAGTTTCGGGTAGTGTTAGCCGCGAACTGCTCAACCACCCCGTCCAAAACTAAGCCCCAATCGAAAAGCTCTGTTTTGGTAATGCAAAAGTTGTGGCATTTGAAATTCACGCAGCGGCAAAAAATGGTAATGCCCAGCACAGAACAAAATCCAGCCGCATTCGGTGCTGGCGCTGGCCAACCAAGTGTGTCTGTGTGTGTATATGCCGAAATTGGTTGGAAAAAATACAAAAGTGCGACACACAGGCCCCCTCCAAAAGTGCATGTATGTAAATTTGTTTTGGGTTTGCGGCTTTTGTTTTGATGCAAAAGTTGTGTGCCCCCCAAAGTAGGCAACAAAATTTCTGCGGTTTTGGCCTTGTGTCAGAGTTCGTTAGTTTGGGTTTTGTATTATACGAAAATTGGTGAATGAGTAAATCTCTTCTCGACCAAAGTCCGAATCGAATAATGAATCATCCACGATTCGGTTGGTGTTTATACGCTGTTTGTTTTTAGCACTTGCTACTGTAACTTGATCCCCAAGTGCCACTTCCGTTGCCCACTGATAAACTTATCTATTTATCCCAAGAAATATAGCCAACATAAAGCATAATGAGGTTGAGGTTATCTTATTGTGTTCTGCCCAGACATAGAGAGATAATAAAGGCTGTAAACACTATTATTGCGCAAACAGAAGATAAGCTTGGATGTCTCTAAAGATTCGGATATTGTGCTTCAGTCGGTCATTGAAGGTTTACAGAAAATGTCGAGTACAACGCTGATCACATTCTTTGTCTTGGTTGTTTTGGTATGTAAAATAACATTTATTTGAATTATAATAATATCCAAAATCTCCTCATCAGACAGGACAATCGCTTGCCCAAAATGTGGCCGTTGATCAGTCAGCTCAATGGGCCAATGAGCTGTTAAAAACCGCCCAAGTTATAGCCCTAGAAAAGTTACCCACTTCTGCTGACGCCCAAAATGATGCCAAAGAACAGCTGGACACGTTAAAAATGGCTTTATCCCATTGCGAAACTGAGCTCAGATCCACTGGAAATGTCGACCAGCACAAAAAGTGTGTTAATGCCGTCTTAAGTGGTTTCTATATGGCATTGGATCGTTTGGCCAGCGAGCATTGGGCCATCTTTGGAGCCACCTCAGGTGCTTCGCGTATCGGCTTGTTTTGCTAGCTCTAAATCATCCCAAAAGTGCAAACAGAAATCAATGAAATCTCATTTAAACTGTTTTTTATTGTTAAAAATGTTGTTGTTTTGTTTACCTGAAATTTTGGGTTTTCTTATAAAACTAAAAATGTTTAAATCAATAAAGTTAGTTATAGTTTGTTGAACCCTTTGATTTACCAAATAATATCTTTGAGGTTTTTTTTTAAATATTAAAAATGGAAAAAAATTTTTAGGAAACTTAAGTGTGTATAATTTAAGTTATTGATTAATTAATTTTTCTAAAACGATTAAGCCTAAAATATCTTTCCTCATAATAAAAAGTTGTTTCTTTAGTTTACACATATAGTGTACCATGAGTTGGCTGTCAATATCATTTGGATTACTTTTATTTACATTTTTACTTACGATATGGGCAGTGAATCCGCGATGGCAAAGTATGGCCTACGACGTGGCCAAGGAGATGAATGTGACCGATGAGTTGAGGGTCCGGGAGGCTTGGAAGTCAGCCATATCCGTGGGCATGCAGCTGGAACATTACTTTCACCGAAAGTTGGACAAAGACAAGAAAACTGGTGCCCTTGGCGTTTTGGATAGTGCATACACCGATGCGATCGTTTGCATTCGAAGTTACTACGAAGGCCATCAGATGGAGCGCTTCAAGGACTGCATTCGCCACGTGCTCGAACTCCACATGGCCCGACTGCAGTCCCACAGTGATAAATTTTATGGGGTGCGGTCTAGCGGAGCAAGCAGACTTCAAATCTGGCACTGATGATTATGGAGCATTACAGCCCGATCGCTGGCAGGCGTCAAGTCTGCTTTCTTTGTGTCTTCTACCCTCTGTTGTACTTCAATTAGACAGTCAACTCGACACCCGACAGTGCAGTGTTCCCCATCTCATTCTGGGCTTTGGGTGGCTTTTGGGACGCCAGTCTAGTGCTCATTAGGCAAATGTGTGGGGTGGGGCGGGGGTTCGGGGAACGGTTGGAGGGCTGCTGTTTCCTAATTATAATCATTAGACGCGAGACAAAACCCTGGCAAAGCAAATAGCGACATTAGCTGTGCGGAAATGTGTGTCAATGAAGATGAATCTGCAAGAGACGCCAGGGTCTAGTCCTGAGACCCGAGTCCTGGGAGGACTGGCATTGTGGATTATATGACATTGGAGAGTCCTCCTCCTTGGTAAGTTTGAAACGGGGCAAAAAGCGGGAAACTAATGAGAATGCAAGGAGTAACTAGCGAGCTGCATGCAAATTTCCATTCGGATGTTCAATCATTTGCTCTGCTTTAATTGCGTTCGTAAGGGCTGTTGTTTAAAGCTTTAGGTACATCCATAGAAAAATCATGGTTAATGCAAATATTTTCATTTTCAACTAAATATTTTTGGTGCTAATTTAGTCCCGAGGGGTGTTGTGTTAAATTTAAGTGTTTTACACTCTTATCTTCAGATTTAAGAGTGAGCAAATTAAGTTTTAAACAAAAAAGAAATTGAAATCTACAATTTTGCTGTTGTATAAATCAATTAAATATGTTAATAAATACATTATCATGTTTTTTGAAAAACAATGTAGCTTTCAAATGTATAATTTTTAATTTTACACTGGTGTTTTTTTCTGGGTGTACTAATATCACAAATCAAGGTTTGTTACTGTTATTTCTTTCAACTTTTTCAAAAGCGATGCATATAAATCGTTTTTTAAAAATCATTATAAAAGCAATCATATCGGCATATATACATAATTAAATTAAGACTTATACTTTTTCTTATGCTTAAGTTTATTTTCTTTTTTTTTACATTTTTGTATCACTTTATGATGTTGCATATCCCATTTTTTTAAAACATTTTTGTACCTCTTGTAGGCAATTGCTGGAGTATTTTGGTCGACTTAAGCCTTTGAATCTGCCTCAGATGTGGTTTCCGTATCGGAAGCAGGTGCATCCGGTTTCGGCTCATCAGTGTTGCCAAACACACACATGGGACACTGCAGGACGAAGCGGAAATAGTCAAGGAATATAGATATGATTTAAATGGCTTTTAATGCCTTACCTTCTCCTTGAGCACCACTCGGTATTTGGGATGGCTGGGGGGTTTACAGAAAAAATTGATTAAACTTTGTAAACGCAACGCAGGTAAAATTAAATTGCACACTAGTGAAAATTGTTACTTGAATATATATTTACTGATTTCTGAAAAGCAGTTTTTTACTTTACACTTAAAAAAAACGGAACAGTAAAAAAATACATGACTATTGAATGTTAAATTGTATATTTAATATCAAAAATAAATATTTAATAATAATAATAAATACATGGCATATTAACCTGCATAATTAAATATTAAACATTTTTGGGTTTAAAATAGATCTTATTTAAATTTAAATTAAATTTGTAGATATTTAAATTGAGTACTAAATATTCATATTTATACTTCGGATATTTAAAAAGTGTATACTCACCTTATGCCATACACAATTGGGTTGTAGACGGCACTTGTCTTGGCGAATGTCGCTCCCCAAATGGTCGTCAGGGGCGTCAATCCCTCGATTTTGAAGAGGCCGAAATAGCAGATGACCAGGTAGGGTGTCCAGGCCATGAACCACAGCGATATGGTGGTGAGGGCCACTTTGGCCAGCTTTCCCTCGGCACTCTTGTCGCAATCCTCGGAACTGCGCAGCGACTTGACATTCATCTTCTTGGCCTGTTCCCGCATCGCCTTTTCGTGGGCGGCCACGGCTGCGATGATGAACCAATACGAGTAGCAGATGAGGAACAGCGGAGTGTAGTACACGAACAGGGAGTAGGTGATGAGGTATGATCTCGGATTCCAAAGGCGTGTCATATAGTCGATGCTGCAGGCAGTCAAATTGCCCTCGGGCACATAGCTACTCCAGCCAATTAAAGGCATCACGGTCCAGAATACAGCCATCATCCATATAAATAGTATTTTCATTATGGACGTCTTGATGGTCATGGGCGTGCCATTAATACCTTTCACAATCACATTGTACCGATCGAAGGCGATCATGCACATGGACCAGATCGACACGCACCCAAACAGCGATCCACATCCCGCATAAATGTCGCACCACAGCGGTCCCAGCACCCAAGTTTCGTAGTAGAAGTTGATGATCATCACCGGCGACTGGGAGGCCATCATGCAGAAGTCGGAGAAGGCCAGGTTGAGAACCAACAGATTTGCCGGCGTGCGCAGCGACTTTGTTCCACCGAAGATGTAGACCACCACTCCGTTGCCGCAGCACGAGATGATCAGGATGACCAGGGTGAACACGCCGAGGATCTTGCTCATCATGGGGTCCATGGGGGCGAAGCGGCTCCAGTAGGGGTTCACCAGGTGCGCCATGTCGGGCAGCACCTACCAGTCATGCAAAAAATTATAGCAATGGAAAAGCATCTGGGGATTATGAACCAAGAAATATGCTATTTTTTTTTGTAGCATCAAGGAAATCAAATCAAAATAAAAAATCAACAACAACTTTTTAAAATAATATTTTATGATTTCGAAAAGTATCACAAGCTTATCATCTTTAAGAGGATTCGATTTTCTAAGTTCAGTTTTTATTAAAAATAATATAAATATTGCTAACTATTTTTTTATATGCTTAAGGCTGAGAAAAGTGCTTCTAAATATATAAAAGTATTTTGAATTGCAAGGTAATTAGTAAGTAATAAGTACAATCGTGTGGAAACTAATTTTTAAAGCTTTTGTACAATGTGTTGATGAGTAATTGAAATTGTATAAAACTTTGTCAATTTTTGATCATTTTTAAAAGCGAAGCAAAAAGCTTGAAGTGTGTCACATATTTTTTTAGATAAGAAAATTGAGATCAAAAATTCTTAGTTTAGCCTTCTAATTTTTAGTGACATCAACTCACTTGCACAACTCATTTACCAATATTCAAAATGTTTTTCAATTCGTGATTTTCTTTCGCTTTTCTTATTCTTACTTTGCTTTGCCTTTAAGTTTGAGTTTTAAGAAATTAGAAAAAGTACTTATTATTTTTCACAACTCTTTGCTAAAAACACAATCCTTTCTTAACAGCCATCTGAAAAAATGGAATCTGTTGCCCGTTTACTCACATTGTCCAGCACGGAACCATTGCCGCTCGACTGTGCCTGAAACCTGGGCCCGGAAAGGGCCAAGGCGAATGGCGTCTCCGGCAAATGAGTGCGCTCCATGCTCAGCTACCCGCAACCCCTTCGACGATTCGAATGCTCATCGAACTAGATCTGAGCCAAAGGGGCCGAATTTTCAGCCCTTTATAGCTGGTTCCTAAGCCAATTAGCCGCCCATCAGAACGGTGAAAAAGCTCGTAGACGGCGGACAGGTGCCAGATAACAGTCAGTTTTATTTTTCCACCGATACACTTTAAGATTCATACGCTAAAAAGTCTAAGGGCATGGTCGAAAGTCCATTAAATTTGTTTCAGTTTTGTTTGAAGTCTTAATTCCGACCGAGATCTATACACTAAAGTGCTGCTAAAAATTTCTGTCCACATTTCTGGCACAATTTTCGTTGTGTTCCCTGGGTGGAGGCGGGCATTGAGGTCTTCGAGTAGGATGGATCGGTCGACGAGGACTGGGACTTAATCTCCGGTGGCAGAATATACAGACCACTGTGCTTGCTACTCTCTGGCATTGGGTTCACAAATTCAACGTCCTTTGCCGCCTTCTCCTTGTTGGCATAGTAAAGATCCTCATCCTCTGAGCTGGGCAGCTCGTACTTGACAATATCGACCTTTTGGCTGAGAATGAGCTGCTTGCAGCACTCTTTGATCTGGTAGTAGGCAGACCGAAACTTCTTCATCTTGTGGGTCTACAGAATTGAATTTCGTGATTTAATGCAGAGTATGGCCAAAACGACTTGGCAAAACTCACCGGTGACAGATTGTCTATGAAAGCCGGCTGCCCATTCTTGCCAAAAGAACTCAAAAGCAGCACATCGCACTCCTTGTAAGCAGGATTTGCACCACCCCAGAGCAGAAGTTCCTTGTAGACGGCCTCATCCATGGCCACTACGTAGTCAAAGTAGTGAAAGTCATTCACTGTGAACTGTGGAAAAAGTTAAATAAGAGCAACTCAATAAATAAATGACATGAAATAACTGCAGCTCACCTGGCGACAAAAGTGATCGGATCGCAGTCCGTGCTCCCGCAGAATTTGCAAACAACGTTTGTGAGGTCTACGTCCAGTGTTCCATGTCCTCAGGCCAGCACTGTCCACTTCCCAGTAGAGGCTCGTCTTGACCATCAGATTCTGCATGATGACCTCGGCCATTGGCGAGCTGCAAGAGTTGCCTGTAATAGCGGAGATTTCACTACTCGATACCCAAACATCAGAAACACATAACAAATTACCCATGCACACAAACAATAACTTCTTGAACGCCATTTCTACGTTTTTTGTGATATGTACCTATAATTTAAACAAATTTTCTAGTTTCTTTTCCAGACTTGTGTTATTTTTTGAGTGAGCTTCACAAGTGCCACATATCTACATGTCGTTGCCAAAATGACCCAGCTTACTTGGTAGTTGACTTTTTGATTCGCTGGCATGCTACGTTTAACCAGAGTTAAATATTAGGTTGAATGACCACTTCCTAAGATTATGATCCCCACTAATGCCTTTTTTACGGCACTTGCAGCCCTCCCTTTTGGATTGAAGTCCTTTTGCGCTTTTCCTCTACTTGTGTGCCACGCCCACAATGTCCTTATTCTGCGAAAGGGGGCGTTCGGCAAGATAGTGTCACGTGGCTGTCAGGTGTTGGCCACGTAGAGTCTTGCCGCGAGCTGCATTCGAAATTAGCCAACAAGTTCAGCGAACTTGCAGTTGGTAAGGGGAATTTGATGAGGTTAGAGCCAATCCCACCCACATATGTTAAAAAGCTAGAAAGCGTAAATACACTGAAGACTTTAAGGTTTCATATATTTCAGGAAATGTGAAGCTTTTTAGCTTATTGTACTTTGAATAGATTTTAATTTATTTAAGATGGATTTTAGCAATCCAGGGACTTAAAATCGTTCATGATTAAGCTTAAAGGATAATTCTAAGCCTTTGAAAAAAATGACAAAATAAATGACAAAGACAAACAAAGAAATATTTAAAAATGAAATCTTAATCCGGACTTAAATAATAATATTTTTCGCTTTTGATGTGTGGCACCCATTTATTGATCACTTTAATGCATCTCACACAGTTGTGCAGTTTTTATTCTAAATTGTTTTTTCCACTTGTAACTGATTGGAGCAATCCCTCTTTATGCTGATGTCATGTCATGAAGGCACTCACCACTCACCGCACAATGCAGCCGGAATTCATTTTATTTCAGTCTCAATTAAACGAGTTTGGTCTGAACGGATCAATTTTGAACATTTCAGAGGGCGAATACTATGCTAGCGTTTTTTATTTCGATTTAGCCCACCCCACCGGGGGAAGGAGGAGTGAAGCGAGTTGGCTTGTAACTTGGCCATTGGCAATATCCAATTGGAATTGCATTGAACGACTAAATTGAAAATGCAGCTGAAAAAGCATATTTCACTTATCACTTTTCACACAAAACACACAAGCAAAGGGGAAAACAAAGGGCGCTGGCCAGGGGCGGCAGGAAAAGCGGGCTAAATGAAATTGTAAGCGCAAAAGTAAAACACAACAGCAACATGCAGCAGTCGCAGCAGCAACGGCAGCAACAGCAGCAGCAACAGCAGCAGCAGCAGCAGCAGCAGCAACAGCAACAAGTCAGTCAGTCACCGGGTGAGTGGGAAATAATATGTGCTCGCATGCAGGGAGGGCGTGGTGAAAAGCGGGTTAGTTGGACGGACGGAAGTGTGGCTCTGGCACTGCATTGTTGTTTTAATTAAAAACAAACCTCCCGAGTTCCTGGCCCGACAAAAACAGAAGCAGAAACAGAAGCAGAAGCACAAGCTGGCAAAACGGAAAACCAAAGTGAGCAACCTGAGAGGACAAAACGGAGGTGTGTGCGGTGGGTGGCTGTGAGAAAGTGTTGAATATTTAGAGCAAAGCTGCAAAAAACTGTGGCAAAATCCCAGAAAAATGTAGCACGAAAATCGCTCACAGAACGAAAGAAAACCCAACGGGCGAACACACAAGCGGAAATGTGCGACTATCTGCTCATACATATGTAAGTGTTGCCGCTTATGTGTGCTGTTGCATTGGCTAATGGCAACCGTAATGCTGTGGCATTCCCCAAATTAAAGGATGAGTCGGCCAAGAGCCGCACCTAATGGCAATTTAAATGAAGCAGCCAGGCTGAACAAAAAACTAGCCCCAAAAACAGCTGCAGAACACATAAAGCTAAGGGCCGACCTGCTTTTTGTTGTGGTATACAAATGCAATTTACAGCACAACAATCAGCGGTGAACGCAAATTGCGGCATCAGGCCAACAAGAAACTAATAGAACATACAACTTTGTTGCCGGCCAGGAACTACATTAACTGACCGCTGGAAAGGTGCAACAGCAGGAGTAACAAAAGGGGTAACAACGGGCGCAACAAACGCAACACAACACAAAAAAATCAACAGCATCCTCATAGTTTTGGCCACAAAAGCACATACAATTAGACATAGAGCTGGCTGAAAAGAGGAGGTGGGGCAAGTAGGCCAAGAAGGGCCGGAAAACCTCCTGTGTTTGCGGCCATTTTCCGCTGATTGAGTTTCGGCGTACATATATGTATTTCCGGGTTTGCTTTTTAAAATGAAATTTGCCGTGAGCATATGTAAACTGGCTTCTTGCTGCTGTCCGGCGCCAGAGGTCCGTTTGCGTTGCTAAACAAACGCCACTTTAACCACTTTATATGGTATGGGGTTTTGCTCTGCGTTCAGGTGTAAAAATTAAAAAAAAACAACGAAAACAGCGTTGCTACATCCATATGTGCACAATATATATTTGTGGTTGCCGTAACCAAAACAAGCCGATCTAATATATAACCATTTTATTAGACCTAAAGTGAATTGCAGGAAAATCAAAAAAGCAAAGATAAAACACAATCATTCAAAGATTAGGAATTGACGTCTGGAGATTGCCTACACTGGCAGAAAACATTTTGTTCTCACATTTTTGACAAATTTGTCACATTTTTTTTACGGCTTAAAGGATTCGTTTTTTTCTTAAAGTTTCAATAAAGATTACGTATACGACAGGAATGACCCAGTGCATTTTTTTGAATTTTGTAAAGTTCAACAGCATTAATAAAAAAAGATTTGTTTTAAACCCTAAATATCTAAATTTAAATTTATTGAGTTTTTAAGTTTTATAAGCTACAAATTGACTTAATAGTATAATTTGGGTATTTAATTTTAAAATTCAAGTCAAATGCTTTACCGAAGAACAGAACACACATTTTTCCCAAGCCGCAATGTCTTATCTCTCGAACATTTTTAAACAGATAAATAATAATAATATTGTAATGCCATCTTTTGGGCTTCGGCTGCCTTGGGTTGAGAAATGTCTGGGGAGAACATTAACAAATGATGCAGGAAACTGACCGTAGATAGACGGATCGGAGGAAACCCAAACGAACCGGGTCTCATTAAAAAGGCAAAGGCAAATATGGCCGAGCGTCTTGGCAATTTCCACAGCCTTAAATTCGACCTCATCAATAGCGAGTGCGGCAGCCAGTTGAAAAGTCGTCTGGCCGAGATTTTTTGTGGCCGATAATGCGGCACGTAGCGGCAATTCAGCAAATGATGCAGGAACTGGCAACTGGAACGGGGAGGCAGCCAAGTTCCTTGGCCAAGTCAATCGGCTGGAGCGGCAGCTTCATCTTCGGGACGGCTCGTAAGTCACTTACCATTTTGAGGTATTTAATGAGCCAAAAACTTTTTGCCGCACATAAATTAAAAGTGGACTGGCAAGTCTGACCCGTGCCCCCCACCGACAAGATTTGGATCTCCACGGGCTCAGGGGTCAGGTGTCCATCTGACCAGCAATATGGCTCTATTAGCATGCCCATTAAAATTAGACAAATGGTTGCCATTGCCGTTTGCCGTTTCGCATATCCGCAACTTTTGCCCAGTCCGCAGATTTATGGCTATGCGAGTGTTCGCCGTTGGCTGGATTTTGCGATTGGCCAAGGATTTTGGGCCGCATTCACATACGTCACTTGAGAGAAATGCGCTGTGGCCGTTGGTTATGATAAATGATTTTGTTGACCATCAACCGAAATGCAAGTGTGTGCTCTCGGCCAATTGTGTATGTGAAAGTCGTTCAAAGTCATCTATACCGTAATTGGCGATAGTAAGTCACAAGTACTTAGAGCGGCCTAAAAAACTTGAAAAAAACACAAATTTAAATAGCACTTTAAACATTTAAACACTAACAACTCTTTTTTAACTATCGCATATATTAAACAATGTTTCTATTGCAAAGCGCTTAGAACATTTTTTTCAAAGCTACTTATAGGCTTTATATTTTAGGGCACCTACGAGTACGTGTGTTTATTAGGGCGCTTCAAATTTATATACAATTTTAAGGTAATACTTTCACACGCCTATATAATACGCTTTGGTGCATTTAACGCGCACGAGGAAGAATTCATTGGATCAATTGGTTTTTGAGATTCTGTATGTTTGGTTTTTTAACACAATCAATATAATGTTTAACGCGAGCGTACGTGCTTTTTTAATATTGTTATACAAGCAAATCAATGATTATAGGACAACTAGTATGGGAAAGCTTAAAGGTTGTCAACAAATTTGTATAGATTTTGGTAGTACATTTTAAAAAATGTCGTGCATGGCAAAAAAAAAGTACGCATTTAAAAAATATTAGGGAAATTAAAAAACTTAAGTAAGTGAGAAAAGCTATTCTTAAAAAAAACTATAATGACAACACATATTTTTGTCCGCCATTCCTCTTTTCAGAGGGATATTTTTCTTTTAAAAATGGCATGCCACTTTAACAAGCCAACACTTTCTCCAATTGAGCTGGTCAAATGGAATGAGATTTTCCGCCTTGATCCCTTTGCTGGCGCAGGTCCTTTGTGTGTGTCTAAGCCGCTTCCACTTGGCATTTCCTTTCGTGCCGTGTCCCGACATCCCTGGCAAATTTAACCCTTCACTTCATTAAACGTACTTGCCGATACCCCAAGGGCACACAAATCACTCTGGCCGCAGATACAAAGGCTGGCTAGGATTGGATTTGGTGTGGCCATAGAAATTCGGCATATAGCCAAACAAAAGCCTAATCGTGCAGCTGCCTCCGCCCAGCCACGCCCTCAATGACTCCTGGAGGAGAAATGGTGGAGCTACCGCCTTTTGCTTGTAATCCATCAACCTGCTACGGTTTTGATTCGGGCCACTGTCACAACAAATACGGCAAACAACAGGGGGAGAAATTGGCAAGGAATGGGTAAAAGGGTTTATTTTTGCGTGCGGACGGAGCTGGTGGAACTAAAGATGAAGATGTAGGCCTGCCACAATGAGCCCGAAAAGTTGCCAGCAAATTGTTTTCCATTCTCTGTTTGCCGGTGCGTGTTGTTCCTGCTTCCG